ATTAAAAAATACTGTAACTATAAAATTATCAATAAAAACATTAATTTTTTAATATTAAATAAATTATTTTTTTACTTTAACCTGTATAGTTTTTGCTTTGAATAGAAAATGTATTAAAATTTTTAGTTAATAAATTTTTTATATATTTACAAACAAACATAGTATATTAATTAAATGATATTCTCTTTAATTTTTTAAGATAACACGAATTAGGTTTGAAAATTAAGTTTCAATCTTTCTCAACTCATATTTGCTCATCTTATTATTGAAGTATTTTTATTATATTTTTCAATATTTAAATGAATTTAATAAGTTTTATAATTAAAAAATACTTCAATAAAATAATTTATTAAAAGATAGTTTTGAAATATAAAAAGTTATTAATAAATACAACAATAACCCTAAAAAAATTAATTTCATGTCGGGAATTATAAATATTTTAATAAATTTTTTACCCATGAAATTAATTGACATCGACATGGGATCGACACTAAAAGAAAGTGAATATCACAATGATATTGATGTTAATAAGTTTAAAAAGCTTATTGATGAAGCGAGCATAATAGAATATGAAATGCAACTAGAAGAACTTGAAATAGAGAAGCAGAAGTTAGAAGGATTTAAGAAATCAAGTGATGCATTAAAGAAACTTATTATGCGATATGACGGTAAATATTCGTCATGGCGAGAACTACTTGCAAAGATGAGAAGCGATCTCTATAAGGTAGAGATAAATGAAGAGAAACGAGTGAAAGAAAAAGAGCTAGCTAATAAGCTGGCTGAGGCTGAAAAAAAAATTGAAGAGATGAAGGAGGAAAAACAAAGAGAAAAAGAGAAATGTATGGAAGATAAAATTAATGAATTAACTATGAAATTGGACCGACTTTCAATTGTAAGTAGGACAGGACCTCGTAGACCACCAAAATGTTTTGGTTGAAATACACCAGGACATATTTTTAGTAATTGTCCTGACAATAATAAATCTGATTCCAAGTATATTAACAAAGTTTCGACATCTTTTATTTCTCTTGAAAACCTTTTCCCACAATTATTTAATATTGATAAAGTTATACAATACTGTAATGTTGAAAAATGTGATATAAAAACTGAAAGTGGGAAGAAGGTAAAGAAGAAAGGGATGCAAATACCAAGAGGTTATTGGGATTCAGCAAAAAAAATTAGTTAATGAGTTGTTTAATAGAGGAATAATCAGAAAAAGTAGTAGTCAATGGAGAAATCCAGTAAAATTTGTTGAAAAAAAAGATGGCAGTCTTAGAATGGTTTGTAATTTCATGGCTTTAAATGATATTGTTGAAAAAGATTTACAAACCTTACCGACAATTAAAGAAGTAATTCAATCAACACAAGGATCTAAACATTTTACTGTTTTAGATCTTAAGGATGCATTTTACTCCATTGAATTAGTAGAGGAAGATAAATATAAAAGTGCATTTGAAGTATTTGGATATGTTTATGAATGGAATTCGATGCCTATGGGGTTTAAAAATTCAAGTCAAATATTAACACGAGTTATGACAAAGATATTAAGTGACGTAAATAGAGATAATTTTAGCATGTTTATAAATGATTTAATTATTCATGGAAAAACACAGGAGGAGCATGATAATATTTTACATAAAATATGTGAAATTTTAGAAAAAAACAATATGAGAATAAATTTAAAAAAGATCCAGTATAATAGAAATGAAGTTGAGATACTTGGAGTGATTGTGAATGGTAAAGAAGTAATACCAAAAGAAATTAAAAACAATGAAACATTTCAGTATACTCGACCATCATCAGTGTCAGATTTAAGAAGATTTATTGGAGTTTGTAATTGGTATAGAGAATTTATCCCACAGTTTGCAACTAAAACTTTTAAGTTGACTAACGCTTTAAAGAAAGATTATATGAGAAAAAAATTTTTATGGAATGATAATTTAGAAAAAGAATATTTAAATATGATAGAAGAGATAAGAAATTTGAAAAATACATACTTACCTGACTACACCAAAGAATTTTATTTGAGAACAGATGCTTCAAGAACAGCACTTGGGGCAGTTTTAATGCAGAAATCAGAAAATGACAAATATCAGCCAATATGCTGGGCTTCTAAAAAGCTTACAATAGCACAAACAAAATATGTAATTAGTGAATTAGAAATGCTTGCATTATGCTGGGGTATAAGTAAGTTTGCATATGAATTAAAAGGACGTAAATTTATTGTTGAAACTGATCATAAAACATTACTTTCTATTAGAGACAAACTAGAGTATAACAACGATAGAATTAATAGATGGATTGAAAAGATTAACAATTATGATTTTAAAGTAAATTATATTTCTGGTAAAAATATGGGCATTGCAGACTTTTTAAGTCGTCAACATGAAGGAGAAATTATAAAAGAAAAGAAAGAGAAGATTAAGGAACATAAAGACTTCTGGTTAAATGATAAAAATGAAGTTAAAACTATACCACCTATGGAAGAAAGAAAATCATTAATAAAAAAGGTACATGAAGATATGTGTCATAGATCACATTTAACTATTTATAAAGAAATGATTAAGAATTATTACTGGCCCAAAATGATTGATTTAATTAAAAAACTATGTAATGAATGTATTAAATGTCAAGAGATAAATAGAAAAAATAGAAACCCTGTAGTTTTTATATCAACTAGAAAAAAATTTGAAAAATTTGGTATAGACATAAAAGAATTTGAAAAAGGTGATAAACTTATGTTAGTAAGAATAGATTATCATACGAGATATGGATTTGCAGAGATAATCAAAGATAAAAAGGCAAAAACAATAACAAGTAAACTTGAATCATGGTTTAATGGCATATACCCAGAAGAAATAATAATTGATAATGCAAGAGAATTTAAATCCTTTGAGTTAAATGAATTTTGTACAAAAAATAATATTAACATTCATTATACAAGTCTGGAAGCTCACAGAAGCAATGGAAGAGTTGAAAGACTTATTAGCACTTTAGTGAATATGATTTTAAAAAGTAATGAGGCATTTTGGAATGGTAAAGTTAAACAAGCAATTAATGCATACAATAACTGTTTTCATAGAGTAATTCAATGCACACCTAATGAAGCATATGAAAATCCTTGTAAAATTAAATGTAATGGTATTAATGAATATGCTGATGAAATTCATTGTTAAGAAATTCCTATTGGTTCAACTGTATTGGTAGCTAAACATGAAAATATACCTAAAAATCAAAAATTGTACTCGGGAAGATTTGTTAATGAAGGCAAGATAATTGAAAAATTAAACAATGGAGCTTATAATGTAAAAATAAAAGACAGAATTGAAAAAAGAATGTATTATGATTTAAAAATAAAAACTACCCGTTTTAACGAGGGGGATGTCGGGAATTATAAATATTTTAATAAATTTTTTACCCATGAAATTAATTGACATCGACATTTCATTAAAAAATATTTTGTGAATTTATATTTTATAAAATTTACTTTATATATTTAAAAACGATAATAATTATACAGTAGTGTTAAAAAAATGAACCAGGGTATTTTTTGAAAGAAAATATTAAAAAAATATGTTTTAGGTGAAATTTATATAATTATTTTGCTTTTAAATATATAAAGTAAATTTTATGTAAAAATAAATCAAATAAATTATACTTTTAATAAAAAAATTTTAAAACATTATTCAAAAAAAGTCATTTTGATTTTCCCTCCAATTTTCATTTTTAAAATCATTTTTGAAGCCTTTTTATATGACAAAATATTTAAATGATATCGATAAAGCTTTAATTTGTGATGATATTAATTCAAGATTAAGTTTAAATCAAATTTCGATTACAAGAGGCTTTACTAGAAAAACTATTAGAGAATGGCTAAAAACCTCAGAAATAATATATTAATTAATCGTAAACAAGGTTCTGGTCGTTTTTCACTATTAAATAATTCTTTGAAGCAATTTATTAAAAATCTTTATAAAAAAATTCATTTTTTTCATATAAATAATTAAATTAAAAGGTTTCAAAATCCAAAATATCAAGATTTTTGAGTAGTTTAAGACTTAAAACTAATTTAGTAATGAAAATCCTTTATTAAGACCTGTCAATATTGAAAAAAGATTTAAAATTTGTAAAAATTTTTTAGGAATGAAAGGTGAAACTTTTAAAAGAATAATTTTTTCAGATGAAATGAAAATAAACCTATTTACTAGTGATGGGGCAAGATATATTAGATATTATCCAGGAGAAAGACATAACAGCAAAAAAATATACCCACAATAAAAACATGAAGGATGATGTGTTATAGTCTGAAGTGTATATCATATCAAGATCTTGGTAGACTAGTATTATTGAAAATACTATAATATAACTGCTTATAAACAAATTTTAGTAAAAAATTAAAGACATTAGGCTAATGAAATTGGTATTGAATCATTTATTTTTATGCATGATGATTATTCAAAAGACATTTCAAATGTTGTTAAAGACTGGATTGATGCAAAAGAAATTGACTTTTTACATTGGCCATTTAAAAACTTAAATTTAAATCCTATTGAGCATATATGGGTTTTTATTAAGAAAAAACTAAATAAAAAGGGTATATTAAAAAAAAGAATTTAAAGAGGAAGTTCTAAGGATCTGGAATTTTATAACATCTAAGATGGTATAGTCATATATTATAAATTTTAATAAGAGAGTTTTAGTAATTTACAATGATAAAGACAAATGTGATGATTATTAAATTTAAGAGGCTCATTTTTTTAACACTACTATATTTGATAAAAAAATTTTAACCCATGAAAGTTAATAATACTGTGATAGATATATATGGATTATATGATACAACTGGTAGTAATAGACTTAATAAACTTAGTTATTCATTTTCTACAAATTTCTGCATCTAGTAAATTTGATTTATAACTTTAAAAAAAATTAACATTTCGCTTATTAAAAACACTGTTTTAGTATTCATTTTTAAACAAATAAGTATATTAAATAGATTTTTTGATTAAAAATTTAAAAACTAATTTAATTTAATGAAATAAATAATTGTAATGTTATATTTTAAAAATAAACTTATAAAAACATAATTTGTCAAATAAAATCTTATTTCTATCTACTATGTTGTTTATAATGTTTGTGTCAACTAAATTTTATTAGAATGTTTTGATGAAAATTTTAGAACAATTTATGTTTAAATTTTTATAAAAAATTTTTTGAAAAAACTGGATTCTACAATAATTTATTTAAAAGGAGAACTCACTCAAAAATACATTGTTACCTAAAGGCAAAATCCTAATTAGAAACTCCAATGGATTTTTGGAAAATAATTTTACCCCTACAATTAATCAATAAAATGAGTAGAAATAATAATTTAAATATGAGTTTTAACGAGTCAGAAGAGACTCTAAAACATCTGGATGAAGAACAGTCTAACGTACATGATTTAATTTTTATTAAAAAATTCTTTTTTTAATAAGATTTTTGATTGAAAAGATTTTTATATTTTTGTGTTATTAATTTTTTGTTAATTTAACCCAATAAGATAAGATGAATCTACAAAGACAGAAGCACTTTAACTTTCGTATTAATGATATAAAGCTTATTAAAAACATAAGCAAAGACAAACCATTTATTTTAAAAGAATATTTAAACGGGGCTGAAAATTCTGTATTTCTTAACGATTTTGATGTTATAATTAAAACGTTCAATGATTGTTTATTTAAAATAGTAAAAATATATCTGTATTCGTGTAAAGATAAGAAGAAACTACTGGGGATGACAAAGATCAGAGTTAAGGAAATATTATTAGCAGGTAAAAAGCTGTTTCAGGAGAAAATAAAAAAAGAAATGAGTGGTTTGTTTGCTAAGGACAGCACAGGGGTAATTAAACTACCAATTTATAAAGTTGATTACGTAAGTATGCTTGATTTTTATGATGATGAAAAAAATTCAATAGGAGAGATGACAATCAGATATAAGATTAGTGACACCAATGAATTGTTTGTTTTAAATGAACAACCCAGTATAATGCAGAATATACTTAATTATGTGTTTACAAAAGAAGAATCAACAATTTTAAATTATGTAAAGGATGATTTAATTGAACTGATAACAGATTCACACTATGATAGATTGTTGTTGTTTTTAGGCACATTTCCAATTACTAATTATTACAGTGATATCTATGGAGTGTGTGACGGTATAAATTGTGAAACTAAATGTGAAAATCCATTTTGAGAAAAGCAGTATGATTTTATTGAATCAGAAAAGGCTGATAAATTATATGATCAGTTACAAGCAGCTATTTGTTGTTACACAAATTATTTTGCTACATGGGGAATAAAAAAAGTACGGAAAGTTGATTGGGTAGAGTTTCAAGAAATAAAATTAGTTCTAGAAAGACTAAAA